GCCCTCCTTGCACGGATGCTGTGTGCTCTCGCAGGGCTCAGAGCTCCCTCTGCCCGCAGTTTGTGCTGCTCGGGRGTGAAAGGCTCCTTCCTGCAGCTCTGGGATGTGCAACCAGCGGGACACGAGCAGCTCCAGCGCTGGACCGAGCCGAGCATCCCMATGGGCAGAGCTCCTGCTGCCGTCCGAGAGCGGAAATACAGAGACATCTCCGGGCTGCATTTCACCGGGATTGAGTCAGCTGAAGCAAAGAAAACCTGTGCTTTGGTTATCCTGGGCCTGGGTGGATCGATCCCATTTCCAAAGGATTGCCCTCTTCGATCACTGACCTGCACGGTTTCTGCAGCTCTGCTGGGCTCAGCTGTCTCGATTCCTGCCTTTGGGAATGTGYCTCACATGCCCAGGTCAGTCTCAGGTTATTGTGGCTAAGCACTGCAGCAGCATTCACACTGTCCAGATTAATGCTGAAGGAGCAGAGTAATCCCCCTTTCCCATCCCTGCCAGTGGCAGGGAATTGCTGGAATTCTCCCCCAGTTTCCTCTGCTCAAGGTGTTTGAAGGCATTACCCCAGCATTAGAAACTGCTGGACTCAATAACGGACATCATGAAATGAATATGTAACACATCAAATGCCTCCTTGCTGCACTTTTTTTTCCTTTCTATTACACCTGAGGGACCAAGGGGGCAGAGAGCTGGTGGAAACCATGCCAAGGTGCTGGCTTTTCCAGCCTTGCCAGTGGTTACTGCTTATGGCAGATTCACACTGATGGGACTCAGCCTAGGACAGGAGTCCGTGCAGAAAAACAGAATATTGAGCCTTGCACTAATCTACTGCAATGAACACTGGTCAATAATTTGAAGGCAGAGCCTCAGATTCATTTRTCAAGGAGATAATAGAAGAGTAGCTTGTCTGTAAATTAAGGGAAAAAAATCCCCAACCACACTGTAATACAGTGACACAGGAGCTGGAATCGATTAGATTTGCAYTCTGACAAGTCATGTGAATGGACCCAGCCAAGCTTGTCAATGACTCAGACTAATAACTTTCTAACCCCTGTGCTCACAAAATGATTTATCTGTTTCCAGTGAGCATTTTTAAGGTTGCATGTGCTGACTACAGCTCTTCCAAAACCCCATAGCAGAATGGTTGCCTCCTGCAGGATTCATGGATGCAAYGGGCAACCATTGCTTGTGTGCTGCTTTCAGTGAGCTATTTCCAGACAGAATTTGGGCTGCAGATCACGTTTGACCAGCTGGTTTACCCAGGCAGGGAAATGTCTACAGCTCACACCTTGGGCTGTGCAAAGTGCTGAAACACAGGAATGGCCAGGGAGAGCTCTTTGTTCTGGACATCCACGAGCTCGGGGTGAAGCCAACGCTGGCTACCAAGTATTTGCACTAGAAGAAATTCCAAACCACTCTTCCTCACCAGCCCATTAATTGTTTGCATTGCTGACATTGTCTTTCAGAGTCCCTGGGCATTGTTTCTTCTGGCTGCAGTGGTTTTGCAGAAGTTACAGACACAGCCAAGCTTTTCAAACCAGCCAGGGGGCTTTGGATGAGGGTGAATTCAGAATCCTTGTGCTGCCCAGCTTCATGTCCCAGAGGGTTTGCCCTGTGAGTGCTTCCCCCAAGCACTGGAACAGGTTGACCCAGCAGCCTCTGACCCTGCTGTGCTCCCAGGCCCTCTGAGGGCACTGGGCTCTGCACAAAATGAGGCAGATTTGCTTTTCTGCTTCTCACAGCTTGCTCTGCCTGATTGCCAGCTGCCTCCCAGGCTCTGCTTCACTTCCATCAATCCTAAACCTTCATAAATTCTGTCATTCTCCTGAAGTGATGTGAGCTGGGGCATTACAGCTTCCCTCTGTGCATGGAGCGTGGCTGAGATCCTGTGTGCTCCTCTGGAGCTGCATACTCAGCTCTCCAGCCTAAAGCATCCCTGCTCTCTGCAGTGGTCCTGAGTGAGCAGATTTCTGCCAGCAGCTCCCTTCAAGAGTGGGACTGGGTGTGGGGGGCAAAGCCACCTCCTGCCATCCCCTGGGGACTGTGGTGAAGCCCCTGAGCAGGAACCTGAGGCAGCAAAGATGAACCCCCTCATCCACTGTCTGCCAGTGCACAACTGCAYCAGGCTCTGAATTCCYCAGCCTTTCCTTGTGCCTGGCYCTGCACAGTCCKGCACAGGGGAGCTGTGAAACTGCAYCACAGCAGAAAGGCTTCTCAGGAATGAGACAATTAACACTAAAGCTCAGTGTGTTTGGAAGCCAAGATAGCCCTCATTTTCTAGTGGAGGTTTTCAGAATTCAGATTTATTGTTGACAGTGGACTGTAATACATCCCAACTCCCGTGGTACTCATTTTAAATGGCTCAGAGCAAACTCTTCCTTCTGGCCATTCCCTGCCAGCCTAAAACAAGACAGGGGAGGGAAAATAGATCCTTTCTTAGTGGTGGCAATTTTCTTCAAGCTTAAGGRAACTGTGACCTTGAAGCAATACAGGGGGAATGGGAGCCTGAGCGGATTTCCGAGAGTTTAAGCGTCCCTGCATATCTCCCGTGATGACAATCAGGTCAGAAATCAGAGCATGAAAATACAAATGTCAAGCGAAAGGATACAATTTTTCATGCCTGGCTGACAGCAAACAGCCTGATCTCCCAGTACAGTTTGACTCCTGTAAGTGGTGCAGATAATCTCAGTTACGGGGAGCTGAAAGCAYCATTAAAGGCTTACAGAGGGCTGCCTACAATTTGGGATCCACTAAAAGCACAAACRTCTGTTGCTCAATTCCTTAAATATTAAGCTGGCATGTGTAGCTTATTTTGTTCATTTTTTTTTCTCTCTCTCTCTTGCACACACCAGGGATTTTGCTGCTTGTGCACCTTGGTGCCATGGGGGATCCTGGGCAGCAGCACAGCCAGCCTGGGCCGGGAATGGGGATGGGAATGGGGAGAGGAWTAGGGAGGGGCCAGGGCAGGAGATAGAGAGAGGCTCTGGGGCTCCTGCCCCTGCACYTCCTCCCTCCCAGCTTCCCAAATGAGCCCAGTGTATCCACAGGACCATCCAGCTTTGACTTTGCCTCTTCGTGGAAAGAATTATCCTCCTTTGTGGAAGGATAATTCTGCTCCAGACACAGAATCATTTCATATTATTTTCCCCTGTTTTGAAGTTTCTGCAGGACCAGAGAGCAAAGGAAAGGCATCTCCTGACTTTCAGAATTGTCACCCATCTGAGAGGGTGCCACCACCCTGTCCTTTTTCCATGCCACTGTGGTCCCTGGAGCACCAGTTCACATCACTGAGGGGATCCCATCGCTCGCTGCATTCACAGAGGGCTCTGCTAAAGCTGCTGAGCTTTGCTGCTGCCAGAACTGCTGCTGGAACCCACCCTGTTCACAGTGTCCTGAAGGAAGGCTGCTCTCCTGAGACCAAAAGTACCATTTTGTGTGATGGCTGCATCAGTGGGAAGAGTATTTAATATAAAAACTCCACCTGTCTGTGCTCCCTCCCAGTGCAGCTCCAGCAGAAATAAAGGTTCTGTTGGCCCTGGAGAGGGCAGAGCCAGGAGAGCTTGTCCAGGCTGTGGGRGTCACTCTGACACATCAAACAGCACAACCTTTGACAGGGAAAAAGGTTTTCTTGAGTTTTGGAGAGGAAAAGCCTCTCCTGCAGGCAGGACCTTCTCCAGCCCCAGCTGCTGTGAATACCTTGCAACAAGCAGCACCTCTGAAACATATTTTTCACTTTAGAAGATGTAAAAACACTGAATTCCCAYGAAAGCCAGCCCCTGCCTGCACTCAGGAGACCAGTCCATGCTGGTGCAGGAGAAACAGCTGTTCCCAGCAAAGGGTGGCCAAAGAGCACTGAGCTGGCTTTCATGGGGAACAGAAGGTATTTGTAATAAACAACAGGCTGGGAGAGTATGAGGACTCATTTAAACACCTCCACTGATTTGATTTCCTTCTGCCAAAGTCCCAGAGCAATAATAAGCTTAAATTAAATGTTTGCATCTCTGAATGTGACCTTTATCTAATTTCCTCTAATCTTTTGGGTGCTCACTGCACAAGGTGAGCCCAAGCCAGGTCTGGTAGCGCTGATGAAGCTGGAGCCCAGCCTGGGGTGAACTCCTGGGGTGAACTCCTGGGGTGAACTCCAGGGGTGCAGGGGTCCAGCATGGAGCTCTGCAGGGTGGTGGGTGATCCCTTTGTGCTGCCTGTCCCAGACTGGTCCCCAAAGAGGGGCTGCCATGCTCACAGGTGGCATCACCGTGCCAGGATCAGGCTGGGCTGGTCCATTGCTCCCCAGGACTCGTGGCTAAAGGCAGATGTTCTTCACAAGAGAGGAAAACCTCTGCACTGACATTTCCAACTGTCTGGAGGTGCTGCCCTGATGGTGTTTGGTGCCCAATGTTCCACTGGGGTAGCAATATTAAAAGCTAATATTCCTTCTCTTGGGAAACAAAGCTCAGGGTCATTTATGGGCTGGCTTTGCTTTGTSTCCAGGGTTATCTGTTTCATGTCACAGGACTGTCTGACAGTTTGTAATTGCTAAGTTTCATCTTCCTGTCTTGCCTGATCCTGACAGCAGCTGACTTATATACGAATTTTTTTTTTTTTTGCAGCCTTTTTTTACAGGGTTCATTTTCATGCTTTACAGCTCCCACCCCCTCCACGGACCATGCAGTGACCTCCTGATGATGCTCATCTTTACATAACATTCCTGCAGATTTGAATCCTAGGACCAATCTCATCAAGATAGGTAAATATTTTCCTAGTTTTAATTGGGGGCAATTTGAAGTATTTTGAGTGGTCTGGCAAACTGTACACACTTGATTGTGATTTTWAAAGCCCTGTTAGACTGGAGCCTGTCAGCAGGACAGTGACAGGAGAGGCAGYTTCCAGGGGTGGCAGCACATCTGGCAGCAGAGGAGTTCTAAGGGTGGGAAATGGGGATCACAGGCTTCTGCCTCTTTTGGGGTCACAGTCAAAAGGCAGCTGAGCCATCGACTTACCTGCCTCACAGCACAGAACAGCTTCCCATACGAATAGACAATGATGACAAAAGGGATTACAAGGCAAAAGATGAAAAGACAGACGATGTAGGACGCGTTGTTGGCATCCTTGGAGTGCCAGTTCACAGAGCAGGTTATCCCTGCTCCTTCTGGCCCATAGCTRCTCCAGCCCAGAAGCGGGGGAACAGTCCAGAACAAGGAGTATGTCCAGGACAGGATGATGCCTGTCCATGATTTYCTGTAGTTCGTAGTGTCAGCCTCTGTCGTTCTTGTCATGGTGCAGTAGCGCTCGTACGAAAGCACAGCCAGGGAGATGAGCGAGATGATGCCTGTATCAAACCAGACACTTGAATCAGCAAMATGGAATCAATGAAGGCTCTAACTTTGCTCTGCCTCCCAAAAGAAATATTTCAAGCTGTGGATGAGGCGGTTGACAGTGGCTTTGGAAACTTGGTGGGCAAAGACTGGGGCTGGAGGTGTCACCCTACGACCAAGAGGTGCTGAGAGCCTGACCCCTCTCACCAAAAGCTGGGGGTGCTTCAGTATGTGTCCAGCCAAAGACAGCCTGTTACAAATGATCCTGACTTCTCCATCACATTTGGCTCTTGCTGCACCTGTAAAATTAGAGATTAATATCTAGATTTGCCCAAAGCGTGGAGCTMATCTGGTGCTCCTGTGCCCGCCTCAAAGTGCCGCCTTCTGAACTGTTCTTGAAATCTTCTGAAATCCCCRCAGGGATTTCATTTTGATGCTGTTCCTAATGAAGAGCTGCAGATTGAACCCATGTCCTGAAGCCCCCAAGTGCCCCAGTGTACACCTCCAGGAGGGCAAGCAGCTCATGAGCCCTTGCAGARACAGTTATGGGCCTCCTGCAATTGGGAACTGTCAGTGGACACTAAATGGGGCAATAAAACCACCAGCAGCAAATCAAAGATTTCTTTTGCAGGCAGAAATGCTGTAGGGGAGGTGATTTCTAATACTGATATAAGAGTTTGCCATTTCCCTCCACACACACCTCCCAGGCTGCATTCTAGAAGCGGTGCTGGCAGGTACAAGGGAATATTGCTGGATGCTGACACAGTCTGTTAAACTTTCCTGGCCAAGAAAAGGTTTTACACACACAAAACTGGTTTGTTGTCCTGTGTAACTCTATGGGGGAGAGAGATGGCAGCAAACATCCGAACTGCAGCTGCTGTAAAACTATCTTCAGAGTGTGCATAAGAGTGTGAGTGTCTCCTAAAGCGCTGTGTGGAGCCTGGGTGCCAGGCTAAGCTGAGCTCCTCGGGTTGTTGGGGTCTGGATCGATGGGCAGCGATGCTCTGCAGGTGAAGCATCATCCCCTCTGTGTGGGGAGAGCCCCGCCAATATGTGCCGGTGTCTGCAGCGGTACCGCGGGCTGGGAGACATTGTCAGCGCTGGGAAGCGTGCAAACATGAGATACTGTTATGTATAACATTATGTGTGTTGTAGCTGCTATCCCACAGCCCCCTGGCCGCCCCCACGCCCCGGGGCTGTCCCTCCGTGTGCCGGGCTGGCGGCTGAAGGGGGCAGGTGAAGGCAGAGGCACACGGGGCTGCTCTCTGCTGCCCACCGTCCGTAGCTCTGCGAGCCCCTGTGCCTGCTCGGGGTCACTGCTCTCCCCGGCACTGGAGCTCTGCCCTCCCGCCCGCACGCTGGGCTGCTCCCGGGCTCCCTGGGCGCTCATCTCACAACTGCCCTGCACGGAATTCCGGGGGCTCCGGCTGCACCCACCTCGCTCCCGCTGCCCTGGGTGCGGGCCGGCAGCTGTGGCAGCTGCAGTGGGCAGTGCTGGCCTGTCCTGCCCAGTGCTGCCCCTCCCGCAGTGGGATCTGGGGTCACGGCTGGAAGCCACCAATTTCCGAGAAACAGCGGTTCTGGAGGCTCCGACCTGCCCACGCTGAAATGTGGCACTCAGGGACAGTGTCCAGTGGTGGCCCTGGCTGTGCTGGGTCAGTTATTRAACTCGATGATCCTGATGGTCTTGTCTAACTTAGGCGATGCTATGAATCTGTGCTCCGTTTTCATCCTTGAAAGTTTGTGGAGCTGTTCCGTAGCCGCTGGAAACACGCTTYGGAGCCTGAATGAGAACTCGCACTTAACGCTGCCTGGGGGCTTTAGGGCTTTTTCCAGAAAAAAACAATCGCTGAAGCTGGGAAAGTTTCACCCCAGCCCTGTGCTCTTGGCTGCCCGGTGTCCCGCTGCCCACGCACAGCCCGAGCCCCATCGCACCCTCTGCTCTCCCGCCTGCGCGCACCCGGACACGGACCCACCAAACCTGTCCGTGGGGCTCCGCAGCCTGTCGGGGCTGTCCCGTCCCCTCGCCTGCTCTCCCCGGAGCTGCCGGGGCTTTCCCATCCCTTCTCCGGAGCTGTCCCCTGCCCGTCCCATCCCTTCTCCGGAGCTGTCCCCTGCCCGTCCCATCCCTTCTCCGGAGCTGTCCGCTGCCCGTCCCCTCCCTGCGGGCGCAGCTCCGCGGGTGCAGCCCCGCATCCCCCCGGCTCCCGGCCCGGTGGGGTCCCACTCACCGCAGAGGGCAGTGGCGAAGCCGTGCCAGGCGCAGGCGGCCCCCGGTGCGGCGGCGGTCCCCGCGGCCAGCCCGAGCGGGGTGCCCAGGGCGCAGCCCAGCAGGTCGCTGAAGGCGATGTTGAGCAGCAGGAGGTTGATGGGGGARCGCAGCGCCGGGAAGCGCCAGAAGAGCAGCAGCACCAGCAGGTTGCTGCAGAAGCCCAGGCTGCCCACGGCGCCCAGGCACACGGCGGCCGCCAGCCGCCCCGCGGGGCTCAGGCACCGGCCCGCCTCGTCCCGAGCATCCCCGCAGGCGGCAGCGGCGCCGGCCGCCGGCATCCCCGCGCTGCCTCCGCGCCCGCACCGCGCCCGCACCGCGGGGAAGGCGCGCAGGGTCCGCTCCTGCCCGCTCCGCCCCGCCCGCCACCGCTGATCCGCTCCGCTCCGCTGCCCCCGCCCGGGGCTGGCACCGCCTGACCTGGCACAGGTGAGCCCCGAGCCTGCCGGGGAGTCTGGGGCTCTGTGCGGGGCACAGCGCCCTGCGGACCCTGCACACCCCACGGGCTCGGCCGGGCTGCGGGAGCTCGCTGGGGGCAAGGGAGCACAGCGGCAAAGCTCAGGGTATCGGTAAATCCGCACCTGAACACACGGAACCAACGCTCTGAGGGGTGTGTCAGTGTCGGCTCGGCCGGCAGGGCTCTCAGAGCAAAGCTGTGAGGAGCACTGCAGGATCCCCAGACGATCCTGTAGGGAAAGAAAGGAAGGTGACTTTTGAGCTGCCAACGGTGTTTCTTGTCAAAGTTCTTTAAAATCTATAGGGCACTTCTACAACCCAGCCAGGTTCTGATCATATCCCACCCCTCAGTAAGGAAAGCATTGTCAGGCATTTTATTTTAACGTTTTAATGTTTTAATTGCTGTCCTACGCAGGGAAAGACTCCCTCACACCTTTCTACTCACAAGGGAGTTTTTCTCTGTTTGCAAATAAAAACTGAATTTGTCTAATTTCCTGCAGCTTGGATGCTATGAGCAATTAGCACTGAAAAGGAAGGCGTGAAACCTGATATCCCCTTCCCTTCTTTTTCTCTTTTTATCGGTTCTTATGGAGAGGAGGCAGTTCAGATTATCTCTGCTTGTAATGATCTTCAAGTTATTAATTTTAAACCAAACCCCTGCACTTTGGGAAAGCTGGCTGCTTCTTGCAGTGGTGGGTTAGGGATGGACAGGTCCAGCATGATGCTGTTATTTATCAGCATTTCTGAAGACCAAGAATATCACAGGGATGGTAGCACATGAAGTCAATCACCTCAGGGTGTGTATTTAGATAAAAAAAGAAGGATGGAAAGCAGACCCTTCAGCAGCTTTRTTGCCCTCCTCTGCACATGCACCTCAATGGCATCTGTAGAGTGARGRGTCCAGAATTGAACRCAGGATTTGAGGWRCATCCATCCAGGCAGTTTTTAATGCAGCCAAGAGCATGCCTGTCCAAGCTGTGGGCTGCCAGCTCTTCTAGGATAAAGCTGTGGGATGTTTCAGACCATTTACTGAAAGTGTAAATAAAATCAAATAGTCATTTTGACAGTATAGAATTGCTTTGATCTGTTTCGTTTCACCTGGAAAATCACATCACTTGATTCTTGTTATGGCAAAGGGATTTGGCACCTGATTTGGGGGAAAGGTGCAACACTGCAGCATCTGTCTACTTGGTTATCTGGGAACTTGGCTGACATTGCACAGCTTCAGGTGAAACTGGTTTTCCTCTGAAAGAAAGGACACGAATTACCTAAAATCAAATGTGAAATCTGGAGAGGTTCAGTTACGTTTCCCTCAGTTTTCGCAACGGCCACAAGATGGCACAGGGCCCCTCCTGTAAAATGCGAATTGGCTCACGGGGAAAAGGCTCAATGCACATTCGGCAGCGGGACACGGTGCCGGCAGCTCTGCCTCTCTGCTGGTCATCACTGAATCCCAGTGTCCAGCCGGGATCCAAACACATTTCCTACACAAACATTTTCATAATGTCTGGAAAGGGGCAGGAGAGAGATGCAGGTAATTCCCTCTGGCTTTCACTACTTCACGAGTTGTGCTTGTCCTGATGTGGAAATGCAGCCTGGGCTGTGTGGGGAGCTGGCTGGCATTTTGGGTCGTTTAACAGAGTGTGGAGAGGGGCTGGCTGGAGGAACCCCAGAGTGACCCCTGGAATTGCTGTTTTAGCTGTTTAACACAACATCACACAGCGAATCCTGCTGGGAGGATCTCATGGCTTGTGGTGTTTGGCTTGAAGGGCTGAGTGAGACCCAACAGCCACAGCCATCAATGGCACTGAAATCAATAGCGTTGTGGCAAATTATCTTTTCTCTCTTACTAATGATAAGAGAGGTAATAATCCTCCTACAGCGCTAATTACAGCCAGTGAAATTATGGTAATGAAAAGAACTCCCATTGCCAGCATTCAAAAAGTTACAATTTACATGAAAAAGGAGGCTYATGTGAATAATGATCATTATTTTGTACATGGGTCTCTCTTGTCCCAGCTATTCTGATCTCAGTAAATCAGGGTGTAATTAATCACAGAGGATTAGATATTGCAGGACTAAGACTGGGAAATTCTGTAGAAGCAAAACTCTGGTTTTGACTTTGTTTTTGACTTAAAATAAACTTGGGTTATCTGTTGCAAAGGACATGTTGCCAGCTCTGCCCTCTGCTCTTTAGGACTGTCCAGAGAGGGTGATGAAGATATGTTTTTGCTGGCAGCTCAGCATAAAATCCTCCAAAAGCCACTGCTCTAACTGCTTGTAATTGAACACTTGATAYGTGTGGAGGGTCGTTTGATATTATCTTTCTTTTTTCTTTGCTGTTGCAGTCTCTGATCATATATTATCTTTAGTTGCCAAAATAAAATCTGTCAGCTAATGAGCTTCCTAATGATTGTGTGATTAAATCCCATGGGAACAATTGCTACTCTTTGCTATGAATGTGCAGGCTTAAAACAGGCTTTTCTACTTAGTCCTTCTTATTCTTCTTTCAAGTTTTGGGTTTGGGTTTTTTGTTTCTTAAAGATTCTTTTTTTAAAAAATTCTTTATAAATAATCATCCCCTTGTAGGGCTGTGAGCCCCAAAGTGTCTCAGAGGTGTACTGGCCCCAAGCTGCAGGCTTGGCTCTCCCAGCCTGGATCTCTCTGCTGACACTCCTGGGGTTTCACATCTCTCTGTAAAACATTGTTCTTGTGTTCATTAGTGAGATCTGTGGTTTGTGCTCCTCTCCAGCCTCTCAGGCTCCCCAAAAGATGAGTTGAGGTGGAACACAGCACTATGGTCCTTATGGAGCCAGGAGAGCTGAGAGGAAGCATCTCCTCCATGCCAGGRAAGGGGTCYGGGGAGGAATGTGTGTCTSAGGGRAYMTGGAAATTAAATGTGATGAATATCRAACTGGAAAGAAGATTTTCACTTAGCATTGAAGTCAAACAGACACCAAAAAGACAAAGAAGATGCAAAATAAATTTACTACTTGAGTTGTTAAAGCCAATAATGTCTGTTTGAAAGACATCCTGGCACAGAAACTGGGGAAAAATCTCAAGGGGAATAAGGGAAGGGCTTTGGCCAGTTGGAATCACTGGCCTTTTCCTTATCCCTGTGGCCCAAGCAGGTGTGTGCCTGGCAGGTAAAGCTCCTGCAGCAGAGCTCGAAGGCCACACAAGAGCTGTGATACAAAAGGGATCCCTGGGATGTGCTGCTGTGAGGAATGTGTCCCAGGAAACTGGTCACTGGCACATCCATTCAGAAATGCTGTTGTCTCAAAGGTTAAACCTTACTTTCTCCTGGGTTTTGTTTGGGTTTTTTTATTCCTTTTTTCTTACATGCCTACTTCTTTCAGTACAGAAATGGAAAAATCACGGTCCCAAAACAATTTCTGCTCTACCACCAGCCTTCATTGCACAAGGTCCTCAAAGCCCCCTGTCCCCCCGGTCTGTCCTGTCCCCAGTGCCCCAGCAGGACCCCCCATTGCTGTTTAGGGGTGTCCCTCTTGGCAGGGACAGCWGGGTGTGTTTGGGGTGCAGGGGGTGTCACTGCTCCCCTCTCAGGTACTGAAAACCTGAGTGTGTGCAGCAAGGCTGCATTTGAGGCAGCCCAGCAGGGCAGTGCAGGGAAGGGCTGGCATTTGCAGCACTKTTTTTGCACTATTGCCCATWTACAGCAGTTTGTTKCACTATTTGYCCATTTACAGCASTTTGTTKCACTATTTGCCCATTTACAGCRCTTTTTTGCCCTCTTTGCCCATTTACAGCAGTTTRTTTYACTCTTTGCCCATTTACAGCACTTTTTTGCACTATTTGCCCATTTGCAACACTTTTTTTGCACTATTTGTCCAATGCTGAGTCACAAAAGAGGCTGTCAAAGAAGGAGGTAGATGAGAAGCTGTGGAAACAAAGAAAAAGCTTAATGACTTTTTCTCAGTCTTCTTTTTCAAGGCATATTAAGCTCCTGGGATGTGCTAAAAGCCAGAGAGGTCCCTGTGCTCTGCACTTACACACATTTCCAGAAATTTTTCTTTTTTTTTTTTGGTAGAACAGGGCAAGGGCAGATGCAGGGGGAGTCTCTGAGCCACCAGATGCTGCTGATGCACATGGAGTTGCCCCACGGGTGCCCTGGTGCCCGGAGAGCAGCACAGCGCTGGCTCCTGGCAGGACAGTGCTCAGAGCTCAGGGGCACAGCCTGTGGAATAACTCCTTAAAAATCCTCCCAGTTGCACAAGGCTATTTATTAGGCTGCCAGGCTACCAATTCACAGGTTTTGCAGCACTCCTGGCTGCTTGGCCTGTGTGAACAAGCTGAGCATGGTGCCAGCTGCTYCTGTCCCCTCTGAAGGGTGCACAGTGACACAGCAAAGGTTTAGGGGTAGGTGATGAACAGCCAGGGTGTCCTGGGGCACTCAGCTACACACAGCCAGACCCCGAGAATAATTCTGGACCTGCTGTTGAACTTGGTTTTGTCCAGCTGCAAGGGTTTAAAATGTCYTGCAGCAGCTCTGTGTAAATGACASCMCAGTCCCAGGTCCCTGCTGTGCTGTGAGTCCTGCTGTCACCAAAGCAGCCCGAGTCTGAGATGTCACGCTCATAAACAACCAGTTCAAATGGTGGAAAGAGCAGCCTGAATTACCCCACAGCTTGGTGTTATTTATACCTGATTCTTGTGGTGTTGAGGGAACATTTACCAGACAGACCTTAATGCCGCAGATGAGCCCATTTCCTCTGCATTAACAATAATTCGGGCAACAGTTTCCCCAGCCAAATTTAACAGCAGGGTCAGAAAGGCACTTTTWGAGAAGGCAGCAAAGCTGAGC